CCACCTGAGCTACAGCCACCCCACCACAGTGAAATCAAACACTCCCTCCTCTGATTTATTGCCACTGAAATAAAAACAGATCAAATTTGTCACGTCCATCACTGTCCTACAGGAACTGTAGTAGTGTATGGTAGACCTATGAAAACTGAGGAGGATGTAATGGGTGAGGTCAAACACTGTCCCTGCAAATACTCCTGATGCATGTGAAACTGCTTCTCTAATCATTAAAGTGGCTTTCAAATGTCACGAACACGTGTGGCGCCGTGTGTCAATGCCAGCGTGGCAAACCCTGCACTCAGTGTGGTTACACGTCAGTCTGGTTGGTTTTATGAACACCATGTTTACAACTTCCTGTCACAAAGAAAAGGAGATAGGTGTTGCTGCTATCTGCCTGCTAGCATGTGGCTGCTAACATCTTACAACCATTATCGGCTGTTTATTTATCAACATTAAATAAACAAAAAAAACTAATGAGTAGTTTAACCAACTAGCAACATTTTAACTTGTGGTTGACCAGAAGTTTATTTACAATGGTTTTTTGTCCAGAAGGTAACATTAGCATGCTAACATTGTCCCACAGACAACGCTAGCATGCTAACAGTACAGAGTTGCAGTTCTTAAAAAGTCACAGGCTGTATTCATTGTGAGGGTTGCCTACTTTGTCCAGTATCACATTTGGACTTCAGATGCACAGTGACTGAGCTCCGGACTGATCACCCAGTAAAACAGAGGAGGCTGAACAGGCTGGACTTCCTTAAATGCAACGTTCCTTTATTTCATCAGCAAACAAATACACTTTGTATAAAAATAACACAAGTTAGCGTGATAATTTCCATGTACCAGGGAAATAAAATGGTAAAATATTAATAATTGCTTATTCAAATACAGGACATTGAATGATTACACTAATCTAAAGGCTAATAATGTTATTATAATTCATGACAGTGCAGTCTAAGTATAGTTAGCAGGTAATAACTGTTAAGATATTTCAGCACAAACTTCGTGGTCAAGGACACAAAGTTTGTGTAATATTCATTGAGTGGGTCCGTGAATGTCCAGCATGCATGTAGGTGATGTGATTCAATGTCACATTCAGTGTAATTTATTATTGAAGTATTCTGATTGATTGTGATTTGGTTCAGTAAGCCTGGAGTCTGGATTTTACCATCGTGACTTATGCAGTAGAAGCGGAAACAAGACAAACTGGGAGACGTTGATTTTCTCCTGAAAATATTCAGGCTTAGATATTCTACTAGACTCAAGTACGTGTTCAATGCGTGGCATGGAAGGAGAGTGGCAGCCTGGGTGGAGGCGTGTTCGCTGTGTGATGGGGAATCAGCTGTCCACGGTGCTAACACCACGGGCTCCTGCTGCAGCTGCTGCTTAGATGTGTTGGAGTGTTCAGATAATGTTTAGCTTTTCGTATAAAGCACCCATCATATTCAACATCTGGATGCTGGAATGGCTCCTGCATCACTATTTGAAACTTCCTGTTCCTCAGCCATCTCCGTCCATTCTGGAAGTTTCTACCAGGTGGTTTGTTTTTTCAGTGCTGCAGCCTGCATGTCGTCCACATTACCTTCTCCTGCAGGCAGTGTACTCCACGGTTCCCTGATTGAAAACTGGACCATTTATCTCTCACTGACTGAAACTGGAAACACAAATATTACCATCACATTCTGACGCTTGTCTCCTGCGATGGGCCATCAGAGACTCAAACACAGACAAAGAAAATAAAGAGTAATCAAATAGACTCTGCTGCCACATTATGCATCACCTCACATACATTATGTTGGCATTCAGCCTTTTTGCCCTAATTCTCAGTAATCAAATGCAATAATGCATTATAAATTCTGGGAGCTTCTCTGATTATATACATTTTTCTTTAGTATGTATTTCTGTTGAATTCCCCCAGCTTTGCCTGCCAGGCACCAAGCAGAGCCCAGCAGAACGTGTCGGTGCAGTGTGTGTGTGGGGATGTGTGCGAGGGCGAGTGTGTGGATGTCCGTCTGCGTCTGTGTCGGGACATCCAGCCGGGAACAGAGCTGCTGTACGCTGACAGCGTGGGAAAAGTGTGTTCACATGTTCGTGGTGACTCCGCTGGACATACAGGTGAGAGCGAGAACACGGTCTCCTCATGTCAGAGTCTGTCATTCATGTTATATCAGGAATATTAGAGCTTTTTCTCAGTTGGATTTTTACTCAGATCTGTATTTGTCTTTTTTAACTGCATCGTCACAGCATGTTAAAATATAATCATAGCCAATTAAAATACATTTAATATATGAGATGATCAAAGGTTTATTTATCTATTTAACACAGAGACCAACATCTTCTGTCATCTGCAAGGAAGAGTTTCTGTTTCACTAACAGTTTCAAATCCAATATTTATCGTCTTTTTCGCTCGGGTTTGTCCCTCACTGGTCCTAGAGAACGTCTTTCTTCTTAAGCTGTCTAAGGAGCTTGCAAAGAAAAGCGTCTGGACTTCTTTAAGTTGCTTGAAGACATTTGACCTCTCATCAGAGAAGCTGTCCTCTCTGTCCAAAATGTGAACATTGGCATCCTCGAAAGAGTGACCTTTGACCTGTAGATGCAGATGAACTTTTTTATTTTTATTTTCCACTGAGGAGCGTAGTGATCTTTGTGGTAATCTGTAGTGTTTAGGACCACGGTGCACCTTCCCTTATCCCTCGGTGACAACAATACCAACAAAGCCTTAAAGTGAGACCCCACAAGCAGCTACAAAAAGAAAGTTATAGCTTGCCTTCAAGACTTTGAAAAGGACAAAATCATTGACCGCCTTACATATCACCGCCTTTA